TTGTGGTTCTTCAGATTGTCTCCTGGTAGTATTTGTATAGGATACAAAAGGAAAACAGGGGTAAGACATGCAGCAAGTGGCCCACAGAGGAGCCTGGCTGCCTCATTATCCTCACAGCGTCTGGGTCACCTGCTTGAGCTTAACAGCACACTGTTGTTGCTGATTTGTCAGTTGCACATCCATGATCCAAACCACAACTCCACCACATCCCAAAGGTGCTCTAGTGGAGTGACATATGTTGATTGTGGAGGTGAATTTAGTACAGTCAACTCAGTGGCATGTTTGTGACATGGCTGCTGGAAGCACCATGGAACAGTTTGGGCATACATCGATGACTTGACATGACCAGCAACAATGGTCAGGTAGACTGTGGCACTGGAACCATGCTCAGCTGGTACAGAAGGGTCCAATCATTACACCACCAACAGTCTGAACCAGGAAGGATGGATCCACACTTTCCTGTTGTTCACGCAGTAGCCTGACCCTACCCTCTGAATGTTGCAACAGAAATTAATCAATGAAATCTTTATTTTGAACCATTCTGTGTGTTAATCCATAATAAAAAATAATTGTTGATACAAATTTAGGATCAACAAAAATGATTTTTCTTTTTAAAAAGCACCATATTCCAATTATTTTTTTGCACCTTTACTGTTTGAAAAGTTCATACATATAATACACTCATCACACCACACTGGCATCAACAATCATTCCATGTCCAAAATCACTTACATCCCTTTTCTTCCTCATTCTGATGCTTAGTTTTAACTTCAGCAGGTTTTCTTGACCATGTCTACATGCTTACACTGTGTGCACAATTATTAGGGAAGTGAATATTTTGGCCGTATTATAATTTTTATGCATATTTTCCAACTTCGAGCTGGATAAACTTGAGTGCCTATTGGATTTAAGCATTTCAGGTGATGTGTATTTGCGTAATGAGTGAGGGTGTGGCCTAAAGAGATCAACACTCAATATAAAGGTGCGCATAATTTTTAGGCAGCTTCTCTTCCTCAGGCAAAATGGGCCAAAAAAGAGATTTGAAGGACTCTGAAAAGTCAAAAATTGTAGAAGTTCTTTCAGAGGGATGCAGAACTCTTGAAATTACCAAGATATTGGGGGTGTGACTGACCACAGAACCATCAAACGTTTTTCTGTTTTGCACTCAGATGGATGGGCCCATGGCTGGATCAGTAACGGACACAGAGCTCCACTTCGATTCAGACGCCAGCAAGGTGGAGGTGGGGTACTGGTATGGGTTGGTATTATTATAGATGTGCTTGTTGGACCTCTTCGGGTTAATGATGGCCTCAAAATCAACTCCAAAACCTACGGCCAGTTTTTAGAAGAGACTTTCTTCAAGCAGTGGCACAGGAAAAGGTCTGCATCTTTCAAGAAGACCATGATTTTTATGCAGGACAATGCTCCACCGCATGCATCAAAGTACTCCACTGCATGGGTAGTCAGTAAAGGCCTTAAGGATGAAAAAAATAATGGCATGGTCCCCTTCCTCACCTGACCTAAACCCTATTCAGAACCTGTGGGCCCTGCTTAAATGGGAGATTTATAGTGTAGGGAAACAGTACACCTCTCTGAACAGTGTCTGGGAGGCTGTGGTTGCTGCAGCACAAACAGTTGATTGTCAACAGAGCAAAAAAACATGTGACAGTTATTGAAAAGAAGGGTGGCTATATTGGTCACTGATTTTATTTTTTGACATGTCAGAAATGTTTATATGTAAATTTTGAGTGGTTTTATTATTCTCACTTTAACAGATGAAAATAAACTGGTGAGATGGGAAAATGCTCATTTTTCATTTAGTTGCATGATAATTCTGCACACTAATAGTTGCCAAATAATTGTGCTTATATTCTCATTCTCTTAAAGACAAAACCTCAATTTTACTTTCTTAAACATTCAGGTTTAGGTTCATTAACATTTGGATTGACCGAGTGCACTGTAGTTGTGAAATTAATCCTCAAAAATCCAGCTTGCCTAATAATTGTGCACACAGAGTAATTGTAATGAATTGCTACCATTAGATTGGCTGATAAAGTACTTGTATTGATGAGCAGCTGAACAGGTGTATCTAACAAAGTGACCAGTAAGTGTGTATCTGGAGTTTAAAGTGCACAATTTCTCTCAGGAAAATGTGCAGATAAAAATCGCACAATAATCACCCTCAGACAAAGACCATCTATACACATTGAATGTTTTATTAAAAAAGAAGTTATAACAGTTTATTTTATACACAACTATTTATGAGGTTATAAGCCTATTAATAGAGAGCATCTGTCATTTTTGACAAGCATGCCCACTTCACAATGAAAAATAAACAAAAAAAAAAAAAACCCAAAACAAAACATGAGGGCAGAGAAGGTGGAAAAAAAAAAATAAAACAAAGAATGGATTTACTGAAACAAACCAAAAAAAAAAAACCCAAAACCCTTTTGACTTTTAAACCCTTGAGTATCACACACTAGGTACCAAATACATAGTTTCTATTAAAACAAAACTGCTGTTTTCCATGCTGCGTGTGCCTGCTAAATCCCCTGACGGCAGCAGTCGGCCAGCGCAGGGAACAAATCCACACAAGCACAAGACAGGATGGGAGGTGAGCCTCGACTCCACACCAGAAGCATGCAACTGCTCGAGGAGTCAACACATGGGGGAGGTGACTTTACAGGATGAGGGTTCCTGCTCTTTGCAGCTGTGCTGATAAAACAGAGAAAGGGCCTTGGGAGTCTCGTCTACAGATGAATAGACCAGTCACTTCACTCAAATCCTTCATCCTTATTGTATGCAGCAGGTTCTGGGAGAGGAGTGTGGCTATAGTTGCAAGACTGTAGCCCAGCTCTGGACTTCCTGTGCAGGTTTACAGTCACAATTGTGAGGCTCTGTGAATCCTAGCATTAATGATATAGATGTGCGGAGTCTCTGTTTAAACCTGCAAGCTTGTTGTCTGAAAGAAGTGAATGGGGAAACAAGCCAAGAGGATATGAAATAAAAGAACATAAAAATGCTTCAATCTTTAAAGAAATACTCTAGAATTCAAGTTGCAGTGGGAAGTGTAATCATTCACTGGCTTTAGGATGTCTTCTTTAGTTCTTAAGTTAAAGATAACTCGAATTTTAAAAAAGGCAGCTATCAGTAAAATAAGATTGGCCATTGAGAAGATTGTTTACCAGAGGAACACCAGGCCACAGCTGAGTATATCATCAATTTATTGCAAATAATCCTGACAACCAATCTTAAGATTTTTGGAGGGGGGGTGGGTGGGCAAAACAAAAGAAGATAAAAATGAGCTGTTAACTCCCTGTAGCACTGCTGCAACATAATGTGCCATTTTTATTACAATTGTCACCTTGGATCTAGTACATTATTAGTACAATACTGCACAGATGTCAAGTAAAACAAGATTTATGAGTTGCTTGTTACAAAACCCCCCCCAAAAAACCTTAACATGAAATTCTTATCAGTGTAGCTGAACCACAGCTCAACCAACAGGGACCAAGTTTAAAACCCTAAAAAACAAACAAAAAAAGTGGGTCCCTCTCTGTGCGAATACACAATTTTTCTTTTTTCTTTATTTTGCTGCATGGGAGGGGAAACACACACACACACACACACACACACACACACACACACACACACACACACCATGGGTAAGGTTTAGCTTTTGATGTGCATCAACAACCTCACCACAAAATAATGTATAACATTCACTTTGCTTTCAACTGCCTTGAATGTGTCAACTATCGCAAAGGTTAACTCTGCCGAGAGCTAACCCAAGCTGACATTCAAAACATCCTCAGGGCGGATTAAAGAAATAACAATCCCGGGTTCAAAGCGGTCAAACTGATCAGATGAATTAAAAACAAACCATGGAGACGTCTGCATTCGAAAGAGCACAGAACTATGTTATAGATCATGCTTATAGAGAAAACCCAACGTCTTAAAAAGGGCTGAACCACACTTTAGATTTCAGTACAGTTAGATCTATCAGGCTCACTACAGGTCATCCTAGATTGAAATCTCTCTCACACTCACACACACACACCCCTGTACAACTCTGAATCTGAAAGACGATGACAAGCAGGCATGTTTATGGGGCATCTCACATATAACCACAAAACAGACTAAGAATCAGATGACGCATCGATGCTTTATCAGGTAAGTATACCAAACTATGTAACGCTATCTGTAATACAGCCATGTAGCAAATGTTTAGTCGAAGTCGGTAAAACTAACTATCGTGACATGTCAAAAACACTGCTCAACAAACATTAGCATGATTTCCATCCTTTCAGTATCATCTGGGTGAAAATGTTATTCACTATCCAAGATACAGCCCAACTAAATTTCAAACCTGAGCCATACAAGTCTAACAATCCTACATTACCACAAATAAACCTTAATGCCATTCGCAGCCCTGGGTAATTCCCCTAATTGTCAACAGACTGAAAATTTAGACGTCGAATCACAAATTGTACAGGATCAAACCGCAGAAACGGGAGAAGACTGTAGGTTAAAGTGATGTGCCTTTCTAATTTTTAAATGAATGACCTTCATGGCTTTTTGAAGACGTGGTTTTTGTGGACTTCCTTTTTATGACGAGGCACAGAAGAGGGAGTCGAAATCAGAGGTGATGAGGTGACCTCCCAAGTGGAATTCTGCCTTCAATCTTTCACTTGGGATCCACAATCCGCCACAAAGCGACCAGTGATTCTTACTGCAATCTACGAAGTGAATACATTTCAAGGTTTTCTAGGTAGTCCGTCTGCCGCGTTAGCCTCCGTGAGCAACACTAAGTCAGTGTTTTTGGGTTAACACTGAATTTTCATGAGGCTACAGAGAGGTGTCTTTTTACTGTACAAGGTATACGCTGTACAAAAAAAAAAAAAAAAAGATTAAAAAACAAACCAAGCGCGCTGACCACCCCCCAACTGGGGGAAAAAAAAATTAAAGTAGAGAAAGGAATAAAAAAAAAACCCAAAAAAACAAACACAGAAGTGTCAAAACTCAAAAATGTGACTGCAATTCCTTTCCACGCATCATAGATGGACATCTTCACCCGCCACAGTGAATAACACAAGGTGTGTTCCTTTGTTTGATTTTAAAGTTAGGAACTCAGATCTGTACAGTTTAGTTATCATGTACAGGGCTCGTATTTCGTAATCCAAAAAGAGATCCTTGTAAGCAGACAGTCCACTCGACACCACCGGTGTTACGTACCAGTCAGACCAACATGGAGAGCATGCATCGGAGCAAATCCAGAGTAACAGTGGAATGTGAGGAAGACTGATACAACACTAACCTCAACAGGGAGGGGGACAAATTACTTTTAAATTTCACTCAGATCCACTCAGTAACCATATGACCATTTTTGTTGCTTTTTTACTGAGATTAAAACAGACTTTAGTGCTGTTCCTTTTAAAAAATATTTATATAGTCAGAAAAGTTCCTTAGGACCAATAACACTACTAGAAATGTGTTTCAAAAACACATATACAGCTGATTGTAATACAGAGACCTCCCTTCACAATGACAGTCTGGTGCTTGTGTGTTTGAGGTGACTCCTGATGTGGAGTATAAAATGCACATGCACGGTCAGATGGTTAAAGTGTAGCTCTGGTCTATTTTTAGTTCCCAAAATACCAAGAGAGTCTGACCAGAATGCCCACAAAAGAAAACCTATATTAGAGCTACCTTCTGTCTTCACTGCCTGTGTGCACTGACCTTACATGTGCAGTTTGTGCAGCTAGCATACACTGTACAAAACAGATCTTTAGTATTGTTGCTTATAATGCATTATGTTGGATTCTCAAATTAAACAAGTAGTTTCACATAGTGAGGACATTACATGAAAAGGCTGCTCTAAATGCTCGCTTTGATACGTTTTTGTTTTCCTACTCTTGGCTCTGCATGATGTACACGGCTCTGGCTAGAAGCACAAGAAGCTCCGCCTGCTGTTTATCATGGGCAGCCAATCATAAGGAGGCTGACTTAAAGGGAGAGCAGCTAAAACAGGTCAGCAAACATATACAGGCAGCTGCAGGTCAACAGAGTAACAAAGAGCAATGCAAGAGTAATGTAACAGTCCATGTAGAATCTGAACTGAATGATAAAAACCCCCAAAACGATTTCATATTGTTCATATGTTTTAAGAGATATGCTTAAGAGGTATTCCAGGTTGATTTGTTAGCGTCTATTGGCACTGCACTTCATATAAAATGTGCTCGGACACTTGTGTGTCAGTGTGCGCATTTAAAAAACAAAACAAACCCCCCCAAATATGTGGTGACGTACACCAGAGAGGGCAAGTAAGACCTAACCTGATCTGATGGGGACCAACTAACAAAAATGGTCAGAGTCAACTGGTATTATGGGAAAAGAAAGGAAATTATATGTCGCTGAGGTCAAAAGGGAAGTTTTATGAAGTGGATTTGTGTAGAGAAATCAGATGTTCACATGGAAGCTTCTTAGATGACGCACCACACAAATGAGCAGACTGACAGGCAGAGAACGTGGATGCGTGTGAGGAGAAACAGCTACAGAATGGGAGGGGAGGTCAAACACACCAAAGGCTATATATCCATAAAAATCCTTGTTTAGTAGTAATAATAATAATAATAAAAAATCAACTTGTTTAAATATGAATATTATAAGTCTGCTTTCTCATGGTTAGGAAATCAAATATAGTCTCTGTGGGGGTTAGGGGGGGGCAGGATGGGGGAACCCTCCTATTACTACAACTCCATGTCCTGGGCCTCGTCTTCTGAGAAGTCAGACATGGAGCTTTCAGATGAAGAGTCGCCTGCCCCCTCTTCCTGCTCCTTCAGAGCCTCCTCTGTTGCATATTTCTGAATGTACTCTGCGGAAGAAATAGAGAACACAGATTTAAAAGGTGAGCTGGCTGGTCTGCAATAAAAAGGAAAATACCTCCTGAAAGGAAAATACTTCTACAAATTTATATTCTGCTGGATACAAAAAACATGGATTGCTGCAGGTAACATATTTTCATTAGGTTGAACCTTTGATTTTCTGCTTGTACTCCTCTGGCCGATGAAGGTACATAGCAGCTGCATCTCCGTTCAGGGGATCGATGGGGTTTGGGTAGGCCAGCAGCTGGGGCAGGAACGACTCAAAGATGTTGGTCAAATCTGAAAAACACAAAAGGAAACCTACTGGTTAGAACTGAAGTTGTAGAGTCACCAGGAAAACTTGATTAAAAAAAAAAAAAAAAGAAAAAGAAAAGAAAAGGCGCTTTAGAATTTATTTTTTTTACAAATAATTATTAGAATTTTGTTTTCCTTTCCAAGTTACAGATCTATCCTTCATGTTTAAAGTTACATAACACTGCAGCTTCATTAATCCACACTGCCAACATAATCTGGTTTATCCCAACAAAGCCCTCGGAAAAAACAAAAAAGCTAATTCACATTAGATATGGTAAACCAAGAAACACAGAAGTACACTTACCTACATTTTTACTGTAATAATGATTCGAGATGCCTGGTCTGATGCTCTAATGTGCGCATGCATTAATTCAACAATCCAGAGGTTTATGTTTCACAGTTTGGCTGTTGACTGGCTATTAAGAACTCTCCAATACTCTCATTGTGCATGTCTCCCCACTGGATACTCTACCATTGCCTTGGAAAGTGGACTGCCCCAACTCCAGGTTGACAGTTTTAGGGTTTGCCCCCAAAGCATGTAACCTTATAAAGCTCTCCAATATGAACTGCTGTTCATTTAATGGCTGTTATTTTCGGGCAACTTGTAAATGTAATCTCTAATCTGAATAAACCTGGTAAAGAAATGTCATTCTGTTAAGTGCCCAATAAAAATCTGGGTGCTCTTGTTGAGTTACCATATCATAGCTTAGTTTAGCTTAATTTAAAAAGGGTCAGTTGGGAATGAACTCAAAATTCTGAGCTTGATAAACTCACACAGGAAGAAACAAATAAAAACAAAACAAAAAAAAACACCGCTTTTCACTAGGTCTCAGCTAGTTCTCTCAGAGCTGAGGGAGAGTCCAAAACCTGAGATGACACTTTCATCTCCTAGGTGTCACTGTTGGGTCCATTTATGTAAGGAAAGCAAACACTCCCCCAGTTCTTTTCCACTGTTTTTGGTGTTTACAAGATTAAATCTAATGCTTTTGCTCCCTCTTCCTTTGTATAGGCTCATTACACAATGCTTGGCTGACTGGCCTATTCCTGTCATTTGGCTTATTTCTGTGTGGTTTGTTTTGTTGTTATTGTTTTTTTTAAACATCCGACACAACAAAACCTACAGTAATCCACACAAATACAACATTCGCTGGAAAATAATTAAGACAGAATGAATTCTCAGTTCATTTTTATTGGTTCTGTAAATAGCATTTAGTATTCTCCCGAGTAGGAACATGAGCTAAAATAAATACCAAGGGATGCTGGAACATCTGCTAGGTATATTACAGTAAAGTCATTTATACTACTCAACAGCTATTTTAACCCTGTGAAGTGGATATTATGGGAAATTAATGGGGAATTTTACTGAGAGAAGGGCACGGGGATGCCAAGGAAGCAGGGAGACCAGCAACAGTGAGGGAAAGTAACTGAGTATAATTGCTCCCATCAAGTATATGTGGGCATGTCTTCCACAGCTGACAGATAATAACTCACTCCTGTCGAAGGTGACTGTTTTCTGACCTTGCTGGTTGAGAGTATTACCTTGTTAGTGTTCACTTTTCCCCACAGTAAGTAGATTAAAGAGCAACAGTACACCATTTGCTAAAGAGGAGCTGCCAGTATTTATTTTGTGCGGATGGCACTGTGTCAAGTTCTTCACACATAATCACACGACCCTCAGAGAGGGAACTCAATACAGACACAGAGCGTAGTCACTCACCATAAAGGGCTGTCCATGTCTGGTTGATGACATCTAAGCACACCGTTCCTGATCTGGGAAACAGAGAGGGAAAAGAGAGTTACAGGTTAAAAGGCCAAAGGCAGGCAAGGACGAATCTGTGTATGTTGCTACGCAGAGTTTTTCTTTTTTCTACAAAAGAGCCATCCTGTTTTGAAAATGTCTTCACGTTTGTTAAGAGAAATGCAAAATTAGATGCAACAGGTGTACTTCCCAGCAGCTTTTGAGCAAACTGTGGCCATTCAGCTGTATATTTCCTGTCAATTCTGAAAGTTGTGAAATATCATGTGACTAGAATGGCCTGTCCCTACTAAATATATAACTAAAACCAAGTTGCTGTGTAAGTTAATGTCAAGTTTCAGTAATTTAAGCTTTAGATTGTTATTGTTGACATATTCCTAGCCACAGATCAACAGTTATATAAATACACTTATTACAGACCTTACCCACTGGCTAATAAAATTTTTTTTTTTAACTTTGCCTTCTTTTGTTGTTGGGACCGGCTAGATGCCCTGCTATTTTTGGTATTTGAAACGCTACACTGTCACATATGGGGAGGAGGCACAAGTTTTTCCTGCTCACCTTTATGGACTGTTCAGTGGATTTACGGACTCAGAAAAGCAAAGAGCTTGACCGAGCAGGTACAAACGTACTTACAAACATAAGAAAAACAAAAGAAAAACACAGCAATTCTGAATTTTTTGGTCAAGTTTGGCCAATATTTTTCTGCTTCTCTTTTTGGTTTGTTTTTTGCCATCATTTTCTGGTGCCCAAAGATTACTGGAAATCACAGTGAAACAGTATTACTGGTACTTATATGGTGCGTTTCTTCTTTATTTGACCACTCAAAGCTAGTCCAATCCACTGTTCATCTTTGTACAAGCGCTTTGAACCTAACGTTCACACACTCGCACTCTTATAGATGCACCTTGGGGCAACTCACAGTTGTACAGTGTCTTGCTAAACGATACTTCGACATGCACACTAGAGGAGCCGGGGATTGAACTACCGACCTTCCGATTGGTAGATGAGCTACTCTACCTGCTGCCCTTTCAATACAACTCAAACATTTTCAGCTGTTAATTTTGTCATCTGTGAACATTAAGCAAGCATAAAATGAACGTGATGGCCAATGGCACTGCTATAACTGAGTTAGGTTAATCCTTTTCACATTTTAACATGAACATTTTCAAAACAAGACTTGACAACATACAAATATGAATTCTTGAGCTTCAATACTTGCATTAATAGTCTGAAATGGTGCAGCAACTTACGCTTCATCAATGTTGGGATGAAAAATCTTGTTCATGAATCCTGAAAAAGACATGAAATAAGTTAGGACAGTGCTAAAAACTAAAATTAAGATGAATAAGTCTGGATGTAAAGTAGAGTTAGAGTTCGTACCTATTGATGGTGATTTGAATGGGTATTTATCAGGAAGATCTACTCGCACTTTCCACACGCCTCCCTCATACGGTGCTGTACATAAGGAGGGGACACAGAATACATAACAAAAGAACAAAGCTGAGTGCAGACGACAGACTTTTATTCGCCTCAACATCATCTTCCACCCTTCGTGTATTTAAATGGATTTAAAAACCGTGTTATAATCAATTTTCTCTGCTACACATGAGCTTCCCTCATCACGTATCTGTCATTTTATGCAGTAATGCACTTCAGCCCAGGAGAAATCTTTACTTCCAAATCACTTCAAATAATACGCTGACATCAAAGAGGAAGCGACTCGGATTTTGCGGGGGTGTTTGGTGCTTGCCCAGAATAGCTGTGTGTAACAGGACCCTCGTGTGCTGTGCTGAAACTGAGAAGCACATACATGACAGATAACGCACATGACGGTTGATCAGCAATGGGGACAACAGTTCCCCTTTATTTGGCATTGTTTCGAGGCAACATAAACAGGGTCAAACACACACTTCCCCTCTTTGCTGATGCGTAAGTGACAGTGGTTTTAGTGTGACAGATGTTACAAGTAGCATATGAAAGAAGTATTTCCTGCTGATGAGGCCACACTCCTCATCCAAATTCCCCTCAAGCCTGTTCAAGCCTAGCTCCTTTCCGTTTTACACTTCGTGGCCTCAGCTCTAGTTTTGCGTTTCTTGCCTGCTGTGAAAAAGCACTTTATGTTCTAAACAAAGAGACTGACACTCCTGCAGCGGCTGCTCTCACAACCACATTTACTGTCACTTCATGCTCTGTAAATCAATCTTAACATCTCATTTGTTTTTATGGCGATGGCACTCATGTTAATAGCTGGTTTAAAATACATTAAAATGCTTGCTTAATAGCACTGCATTCAAGGGAAAAAAAGGTACCCTGGATAATCCCTTAATTATTTTAGAACATGTTACTGAATAAGGTCTCAGCAGCAATATTCAAAATGTCTGTGGAATGAGAGAAAAACTAAACAAAAAAACTGAAAGAAGAAAATCTTACTTCCTTGTGGTCCAAAAAACTTCACTACAAATTCATTGAGTCCACTGAGGATGGTGACTTCATGCTTGCTCTCGATGCTGTAGGACAGTTAAGGAGGATTGCTTCACGAAAAGCATAAACATAAACAAACAAAGAACTGCAGGACTGATTCTATCGTTTGGCTTCTATAGAAACAGTCAGTGAGCTGTGGTTGCTTCCTGTATCATCACATATTTTCCTGCATGGTAGACAAATGCACAAGAATAACCTGCCCGGTTTCCTCTCTCCTACCTGACATGATTGTCTGTATCACTGTGAATTATGAAGACTAAACAGAGGAATGACAGCTTTTGACAAATGATAATAACTTAATTGTTTTAATCCATAATCCTGGAGAGGCGTTATCTATTGCAACTAATAGCTCAATGCCATGCCCCTCGGGACACTGAATTAACATCAGGATGCTGACTGAAGTGTTCACCCATCCTTCATCTGCTAACTATTCCAAGTCTCTTTTCCATGTGTCACTCTCCATGAGCACCTTGGCTTTCTAGAACTTGATATTACCACACATACTTCTGACAAAACAGTACTCACTGTACGCATGTCTACAAACTGAAATGCTAATTTTAGTCACTTCTCATAGTTGTAACTAATGGAGCCGACAGCCTAAGAGTCCAAAATATACAGTTAATACTGTACTGGTAATATCAGAAAAGGAGGTTTCTATAGTATCATATATAGCTGAAAAAACTATATATATTGTTGAGCATTATTGGTGCCTTCATAGATGTGAAAGCTACCCATGTGAGCTGCACTAATGCTCCCAGGGAGTCTTTCATACAGTGGTGAAAACCTCCATGGGATGCTTTTTATACCAAGTCATGTCACTAATGAGCCCAATTAGCTATGAGATGTTTGAGATAAGATGTATTTTTAGCATCCCAGCTCAATGTTTTCAGCCTAAACTTGTTTCTGGGATCAAACTAAAACAATATGTATACATTTGATGTGTTGTCTGAAGTTTCATTTACAAATATTTGCAAAAACAATGATTTCCTGTTTTTACCATGAGCCAGGTTTGTTTGTTTTTGTTTTTTAAAAGAAAGGTGTTAGTAAAGAAAAACAGCCTGTGTTTTCATTTGCTACTCCAGTCATAGCTATAATTATAACATAAATAAAGTTTAAAAAAAAAAAAAAGAAAGAAGAAGAAATAGTCATTATCACACTAAGCATTCTGAATCACCGCTGTTTTTACAAAACCAAAAAGAAATCACTTTGCCTAAATGTGACCAAAGGAGATGATAATAAAAACATGAATCACCGTTTTCCACAGCGAACAGAAGCAGCTGTCTTGTTGATCCTGATTTAGTGTGGATCTAATTAGCAGCATCACTGACCCCAAAGGGTTAAATCAAACTGAAGGTTATTTTAAGTTCTGGTAGAGACTGCTAGGAGCAGATTGAATCCCTGGCTTCAACAAGGAAATGTGTCTATTTCAGACAGAAGAGGAACCTCTCTGTTCTGACTCGCACTGGAGTCAAGTAAGCATTATGAGGGTCTCCAATGCAAAATCCAAGGCGAACTAAATACTCATCTAAAGGTCACTAGGAAAACATAAACAAGCCCAGTGCCTAAAGAAACAACTCCTGCATCATATTTCAGTGCTCACACTCGCATAATTCCTCATTTTATTCTAGTTCTGCTCTTTATCTAAAAAGGGCATTTACACATCTAAAAGCTATATAAGACAAGGCAGCAGTGACAAGGAACAGGACGATACAGACTGTGTGTGTTGTGGTATGAAACAGAAACCGTGAGGTGTGGTGGGTGATAAGCGAATTATGGGGCTAAAACAACAGTAACTACACTGCACACTGACTGAAACTGGCCAGTCTAACTAGGAAGGCAGCGAAAAATCGACCCTGCTATATGATGTCACACTTACCTAAATTACAAAATAGAAATGCAAATGTAAGGGTCCTGATGGCCTATAAATATTAAACTGTTGAGTACGTTTAATATCTCATAGAGTAAGATAATGCTAACAGACACCACTGACATGTAACTTGCTTTCATCCAACTAAAATCTATCAGTTTTCATCTAATAAGGAAACAGCAGTCACATGTAGCCACAGATTCACCCAGTTTCAGCATCTGTCAGCAGCAGCTTCACCCAGACCAAGCTCGATTTGAATTTCAATCACTGCGGTTATACTTTCTATTGGAAAATTAAAAGAAAAAAAATATGGTTCACATGAATGCAATATGAATTCCAGCTTTTTAATTTAGGCTAAAAAGGCTAACGTGTAGAGTACACTTGACCCACTGATTGATTCAGTTAACCTAAAGATGAAGGAAAGAAGAATCTCAAAGAAGAATCTCTCTCAGACACAAGCTCAAAACTAATATCACTTCGATGTGATTCTTTCCATCTGTCTGGTCTAACCCAATAGCCTTTTCTACCCAATAAATAACTATAGGTCTCTGTTGACAATGTTCTCACACTACAGAAAAGGAGTTTGGCATGTCTGTAAGAACAGAGGGAAGTTGTAAATTCCCCAACTGTTTGATGGATTGAGATGGAATGTGAAAAACACAGCCAACCAACTTACTAGCTTAACTGAGCTCAACTCTAGATTTGTTTTTGGTTTGTTGAAGTCGACTGTGTTCAGATTTGGCAAATAAGTCGAATAAACAATGTCAACAAGCACAGAAACACTGAGAAAACAGAACCTCTGCAACATTTACATGTGTATCCCTTTAAGAACATGTGACTGATTTGGGTGCATTTAGTTGTAACATGAGATACTTTGTATCTTTAACATCTTGAAAACATGGTAAAACACACTTGGATCACAAAAGGCTCTAAAGGTATAAGCATGCAGTGTAAAAGTGCAACACACTTAAATGTTGCACCTCATCTTAAAAGGTTATAATATGAAGTGCTAAAATAAATAAGCTGATAAAAGGGGAACTAAAATATAACTAAATCATTTGTCACCCAGCATGGGTAATCCCAAATACCCAAACAGAATTAATGGAAAAAGGACAATTAACTACAGAGTTATATCATTACTTATCCCACCCCCATGCAAAGATCGCCTGTCCAACCCTTCACCTTGGATTTATATAGTTAGAAATCACATAAACAGGTAAGTCAATAAATATAATCCAACACACGGAGCCCAATCAAGCTAGGAGAACATACATAAATCCACACAGATAACAGAAAGCCTTGAACTGTAACCTAAATTCCTTCACTACCAGACTTTATTACAAGGATATACTGACTTCAACATGCCAGCTCACTCTTTAATAACACAGTGTTAGACATGAAAAAAGTAATAAAAAAAATAAATAAATAAAAAAAAGGTACAAAAGAGCTCCTCTCAGACTAACAATTACCTTGTTACTCCAGGACTAAGGTCAATGTTGTCCTGATATTTCTTCTGTAGCCTATAAAGCACATTTTAAATACTTAGATGTCAAAATATGCAGTAAATAGCATTTACAGTTGTGGTCTAGACATGTCTTGTTTTCTTTCTGGTCCATTCAGGCCTCTATCCCTGCCTGACCCAGGATCAAAATATCCCTTCGCAACCAGCCTCGTTCCAAGTACAGAAAACAAACACGACGGAGAATCATAAACAGCATACTGTTAAACAATGTGGCGTCAAATATGCTCAAACATTTCGCTCTTGGAGACAGCAGTTGTTGATCTAGTGATGGGAGGCACTGGCTATTTTCAAAGCATGTTCCTGTCTCTTGCCGTTTTTGAACAGCAGGGGTCGAGGAAAAGTCAATTCTATTCATCTGATCCAATTCATGTATTGCATCAAAGGACAATGACGTGCAATTAAATCAAACAATCAAACTGACTGCACAGGTCAGTTATTTACAGTTTTGCCTGAAACTACCAAGATTTCAGCCTTAATTACATAAACTGTGACTTGAGCGTCATCCAAGTCAGAATTATAAATCACATGCAATCTGACTAAGCTAATAACATGCACACTGTTTTACCTTCCACGTCATCAACATGCCAGGCTAGAAAAAGTATGCGATCCTCTGCAACAACAACTCGACCACAAGCACAAATGAGAGTCGGAGAGTTTGGAAGTTTAGATGTGCCCTTACCTGTAAACGAATGGCATATAAAACCTGCTATTGGAGATCGAAAGACTAAAGCAGCAGCAAGTCTAAAGACTTGGGTGTTAATCAATCTATAATAACATTTTCTAGAACAATCCCCCTCCCCCATAAGACTGAAAAATATTTTGTACCTGGGATGTTGCTTTAAGTCCTAATTTTCCACCATGCAATCACACTAATGATTTCCATCCACCATTTGTTCTGCCTGTCATATGGACAGCTAGCGATTGTAGCTGCTAGCAATGCTCTGTTGAGTCATTTTATTATTGCGCCACAGATCAACAGGTGCACGTATCTCTACCTTTGTAGCCTGGTGTGTGTTTTTGTCTCAAGAGCAGAAACATGTAGCAGACGCAGTTTTCTTGCATATTTGGTAAAGCGCTGTGCTTTGTTGGAGGATGTTGAAGGTGGTCTCTTTTAGATGTTAAATCTTTGATGGAGGCTAACACATACAGTGGTGTGAAAAAGTGTTTGCCTCCTTCCTTATTTCTTAGTGTTTTGCATATTTGTCACACTTACATGTTTCAGATCATCAAACTAATTTTAACATTAGACAAAGTTAAACAGAGTAAATACAAAATGCAGTTTTTAAATTATGGTTTCATTGATAAAGGCGAAAAGCAACACATCATGCAATGATCTAAAGAAGCACCTGAGAAACAAGGTCACTGACACCTATCAGTCTGGAAAGGGTTACAAAGCCATATCTAAGGCTTTGGGACTCCAGTGAACCACGGTGAGAGCCATTATACCAGGGGTGGGCAACTCTAGGCCTCGAGGGTCAGTGTCCTACAAGTTTTAGATGTGTCCTTGATCCAACATAGCTGATTCAAATGGCTAAATTACCTCCTCAACATGTCTTGATGTTTTCCAGAGGCCTGGTAATGAACTAACCATTTGATTCAAATGTGTTGACCCAGGGTGAGATCTAAAACCTGCCTCA